CTATCTATCTATCTATCTATCTATCTATCTATCTATCTATCTATCTATCTATCTATCTATCTATCTATCTATCTATCTATCTATCTATCTATCTATCTATCTATCTATCTATCTATCTATCTATCTATCTATCTATCTATCTATCTATCTATCTATCTATCTATCTATCTATCTATCTATCTATCTATCTATCTATCTATCTATCTATCTATCTATCTATCTATCTATCTATCTATCTATCTATCTATCTATCTATCTATCTATCTATCTATCTATCTATCTATCTATCTATCTATCTATCTATCTATCTATCTATCTATCTATCTATCTATCTATCTATCTATCTATCTATCTATCTATCTATCTATCTATCTATCTATCTATCTATCTATCTATCTATCTATCTATCTATCTATCTATCTATCTATCTATCTATCTATCTATCTATCTATCTATCTATCTATCTATCTATCTATCTANTCTGCTTTTCTGTAGCCCTTTACATGTACATTTTAGCACAATAAAGCACTTATAGTTAGCTTGAGAGCTGAAAGCTGAAGATCACAGTGCCTATGAGTGACATGTACATGAAGGGTTTACAACCGTGTTTAAGTTCTGCAATACTACTTTTCATATCTGGTCTTGCAAAATATTGCAAAATCGTAAATCGAATAAAAATTTCAAAAATTTTCAACATGACATATTTTTAAATTGATTATGAATGTTATATTTATATTATATTAAACCCTGTACTGCCTAATGAACCTATGTGACAATGTATTAAACACTTGAATAAACATTAAACATTGTCAAGCAAATTACTTTTCAGGATGCAAACACAGGGAAATAAAAAGTATAAGAACAAGGAATAAGGAATATGAGAACAAGGAATAATAATTATGAGAACAAGGAATAAGGAATATGAGAACAAGGAATAATAATTATGAGAACAAGGAATAAGAATTATGAGAACAAGGAATAAGGAATATGAAAACAAGGAGTAAGGAATATAAGAACAAGGAATAAGGAATATAAGAACAAGGAATAAG